GAAAAGTTTTTAGTGTTCTTACTGAGAGAAAAGCTGCGTTTAGCCATTTTAGGTGAAATAGAAAATTTTAACCAGGCAAGTTCCACCTATCTTTGTGTTTTTATTTTATAGTTCAGATAGGATTTTTTTATTATAGTTGGAAGTAGGAAACAGAGTTATTTGGTATGTGACAACTTAACTATTTCAAGTTTAAAACAGCCATTTCTAAAATCTTACTTTGGTACCTTTTATTTTCAGTTAGTGGAAATATGGAGACTGGAAAGGAGGAGTAAAGGAGAAGATGCATGGTGACTATTTCTATTAAAATACTTTGCCTACATTATTCAAAAGGTGTACAAAACGCTGAGGTAGAAATACAAATCTATAATGATATTCTGTCTTTGCTTAGTGTTCTGAAAGAAAAAGTGACGTTTTGGAGGAGGACAAATAAAGCATGACTTGACAGTGATTAATAGTCACAAAACATAACAGAGAATGGGACAGTGGTTAACCTGATTAAGTAGGAAAACATGCATTTAAACACCATCATAAACTAGAGTACCTGTACTATTTTTTAAGGAGAAGTTTACTTTTGAACAATCAATATTTATTGTTCTAGCTATGTACACAATATTTTAGTACGTTTTTTTCCCAGTAAAAAATGAAGTGTCTTGTTTTTTACTACTCTTCACACCCCAATAATTTAGCTAGCTTTTAATGGATAGTGTTACTTGGATGTTTGAGGCAAGTGCCAATTGATCTGTCACTCCTCTTTCAATTTCCAGATGAAAATAGGAACACAGTACAAAATAAATGTATAGCATGAAGAAGAGTAGGTAGGTTATTATGGAAAGTTGGAAAATATAGTGATGAGCTCACATGGAGAGCCAAGAGTAACCTTTCATGTCCTATGGCAGAGATAGGTAATATCCTTCATTTAGTAATGAAGAGTAGTATCAAAAATACTTAAAGCTGCTGTGAAAACAAAATCAGTGACTGTGCAAACAAGCTTCACCTTTGACAAGATCTCTAGTGAGGGTGTGAGTTTCTCACACATGGGAAAATTAGGATCTGATATTAAGAATTTTATGATCTCTGTTTAGCACAGGCCAAAAGGTTCTTGCTTGGCATAGACTTCACCTCAACTCTACCTTTCATGGGTATCTGCTGGCTTCCAGAAAGCACAGAAAATTATACTATGAGTGAAGTGAAATGGAGAACAGCACAACACAGAGAGCACTCTTCTAAAATGGTTCTGTTTGACACTAACTTAGTGTAGCATTTTCTCTTTTTGCTGTCACTTAAACGAAGCCTGCACCTCAGCAAATTTATACAGTACACCATGAGAGCTTTACACAGCTGCTTACAGACCATCAAGAAAAGCAGGTATTCACCAGCCCAAATGCTAGAAAGTGACGAGTGCAGTTCACAAAAACAATTACATCAATAACACTCCCTGTCCCTTTTGTGCTCCAGAGAAGTGTGGAAGCTGGGGTTGGTGAAGAGACACCCTCTGCATCTAAGAGAGGGAGAGAGAGACAGAGAGAGACTGTTGCCATGGTGTGGAACTGCTTTTTCATAAATGTTTCAGTAAGGTCATGCCCTGCTTGATTAATTCCAAGAGTTCACATCCATCTACTGCCACACAGCCAGCTTACAGCAGATGTTCACAGAAGCCATTTCATGCTGACTTATAACCCTTCCATTTTTTTCTGTGGCTAATGTATCAGGATGGTTGTATTCTGAACACAGAAGTAACCAGTGCAAGCACTGAAAAGCAGCCTCCATTGTGTCTTTAACTGTCTTTGCATCCCAGCAGCCTCACTCAGCAACTAACTGCTCGCAGATTTTGCTCTCCCTGAACAACCACACACTTTCCCTAGTACAAATGTTTCAGTGTGTGGACTTAGTGCATTTTTTTCCCCATATACTTTTGTATGGTTGAAAGCAACATGCTCTCAAACACAGGAATGACACAATTTCTGAGGAGGTTAAGTATACACAGTCCAAAGACAGGACAATGAATAAAAGTAATTTATTTTAAATCCTATGCCCTCCTCACCTCTCTGTCTCTTACACAAGCATCAGGTTGACAATAATAAGGGCTAAGGGAAGGACCAGAAGGCCTTGGGCTTGTTACATGTTTTGGTACATCCTAGCATGTGATGTAAAGAGTAGAAGAAATACTTGCAGAAAAAGAATCTCTGTTGCAGTGTAAGAGAGTAGAGCAGAGATGGTTGCAAATGCCAAACTAAAAAATTTTTAAAAAGATTCTGTTTTTAGATTTTTCATAAATTTTTGAAGCCATATGCTTCTGCCTAATTTATGCAGATTATTGCCATTATGAGAAATTTTATTTGCCTATTTCTTATTCATATTTTTCAACTAAATTCAAAGGCAAAATCCTGGGATATGACTCTTCCCAAATTCAACTCAACAAATATTCACTCACTTCCTACTGAGGTGATTAAATAATTTTAATGTGAGTGTGTCTGGTAATCACATTAACATGTGATCATGTTAACAGCATGTTAGTAGTACTCTAAGGTATGATGTCTTGGCTATTGTGCAAAATAATGTCAGATAGAAAGATAAAATTATAACTTCAGCTCATGTTTATGAAGATGGCATCTTCAAATTCCTTTTGTCATTATGATCTTTGTTCTGTACAGCTGTATTTCTGGATGTCAAGCCATTTTAATTACAAATAATTTCACCCCTCCTTTGAATTATCTCTCCTCTCCTCTGCTCTCCATTGGGTGAAGAGGTATGGTCAGTGGTATGGGTGACTCTGAAATGAAGGCACACTGACTAGACACCTCTGAGAAAGACAGAAGTTTAAACAATAAAAAAAATATTTTTTTATGAACTTGATAAGGTTGACTGAAGCTATCAATCCCAAATCTACAACTGTGGATTACTAAGACAGCCTCAACCCAGTTCTTTTTCCTCCTCAGGTGGAATGGCAGAGCAGTAGTCTTTTTAATGCAATTTCTTCACAGCCCATTATGCTGCTTGGTAAGAATTAATTCAGACAGAGGCTCTGTGTATTTTCTAGGGTGAAGTTCACAGTGTTCTCCAGCGGAAATAAATGCCCCAAAACTTGCCCTGTCTACAATGAAAGCTTAGTCTCTTGCTCTGTGTTCATCACTGTAAGTTTTATCACCTTCAGGAGCATAAATCTTGAGACAGGTCATGGGTGTCAACCTCAAGGTCACAAACATTTTAAATAAATAATCATTCTTTCAAGAATATTTCTGAAATTTGGTGAAAGTTGAAGCAAAAGAATTGATCTAATCCATCACATGCTGAGCTTGTTTTGGCCAGTACATATACTTAATCACTTATCAATTACTTACACAAATTGAAGGAGCAGATGACAAAGCCTATTTTCAAGGCTGCCTTGTGGGGGTCCTATAAAACTAACAGTAGCGGATGTCTGTGGGTCTTGGATTTTTTTTTTTTTCCTTTTTTTATTGCTTCTGGGCAGGGTGCATATAATTACAAGGAAAAAGTAATCTCACTGAAGAAAAAGAAAAGCAGAGAAAAGTTGGAATATTAGTGGTGCAAAAGGATTTTTTATTTAAAACTAGGTTTCATGTTCTATTACGCTGTAATCCTTTCCTAGCTGTTAATGTATGCTTTCAATTATTTTAAGTGTGAAGAGCATATATTCTTCCCTGTGCTTCCATTTTTATGCCCATCTTTCCTGTGTGCAGTGGTATCATACCTGCTATTTGTTGTATAAACTTAGTGTGAAGTGATGTGGCGAAATGTTAAAAGGTTGATCAACATACAATCCCTTAAGTGTTCTCTCTAACTTGCATAACTATGTTTAATTATTTAATTTAGAATGTATGTACCATTTTGATGTGCTATGGTGACCAGTGTCAAGATAACTCCCCTGAAGGAACAGGCCTTTGAGAGTTTCTGACTTCCCACAGGGAAATCAATGACATTTTAATCTGAATTAGACATAGTTCCTGCAGAGAGGAATCTGAGCAAGCTTCCAGAAAATTGCTGATTCTTTTAGTAAATAAGACATTTTTCTGTTTTGCTATCATAGTACTGTAAAGATTTTTTGATGGAGATTTGTAAATTGATTGTTTGATAGAAGGTATTTGCCTATTTTTAGATGAAAAAATGTCAGTTTAAATTCTGTATCAGGTTAAATACAAGCAATAGTAAGATTAATCTTTTTTTTTTATCTGGTCTTTTGAAGATTAAAACCAATCCATGCATAATCCCTTGCTGCTAACCAGAATGCATTTTTTAAATGTTCCTTTAATTATCTAAACACTAGGACTTGCACATTGTATAACATCATATGATCTTATCTAAAGTATTATTAATAGATTACTCTGTTAGAAAATGCAGGAAAATCCCTCTTTGTAATTTTTCTGTGTACTTCGCTCTCTCTCTCCTCTATACTTTTGAAAATTTGTGTTGCTTGTTCATAGAAATAATACAAACCCAGAATGGTTTGCATGTTCAGAGAGGATCTCAATACCACTACTGAATAAATTATCAGCAACAGCTTATTGGGACTTTCTGAATTTTCCTCATGTTAAAAGCTTTAGGTTTTTTTGTTGGGATTGATTTTTTCTTTGGCATAGGGAAGACCATCTTGTGGAAACTGAAAGGTTTTCAGAACAGTACAACTTTTTCTGACAAACTTTCCAGTTTCGCTTTCATTTGCCCAACTCTTTAGACAATCTGCTGCAAGTAAAATTTTTGTGTCAGAAAGATTGTCAGAAAGCCAGAGATCCCAGATGCCCATATTCCCAAACTCTGGGAAGCTCTATCATGTATACACAAAGCATTGTGTGTGTTCGCCAATGACTGTGATTCTGTGACAAACCTGCCTTGCATTTCAACCAGAATTGGTATTGTTGACACTGCCTCCTGAAATCTGGGATTGCCATTCTCTTGCTGGGTTTCTTTTCTATACATTATCACTACTCATTAGTCAAAATTTGTTTTAATATATATTATGTGGCAGAAATCTTAATTTTCTGTCCAATTACTTTTGAATTTGGTGTTATAATTTAGTTGTTCCTCATTTCTGGGAGTTCTTCAATTCTCCATCTTCCTCATGTCCAGAGGAGAGGATCCTGAAAAATACAGGTGTGTTAGCCTAACCTTGGTGCCTGGAGGGCTGTGGAAGAGATCGGCTTGAGTGAGATCAGACAGCACATTGGATCAGTCACTGCCAGCATGGACTGAGGAAGAGCAGTCCTGCCTGACAAAACTGATCTCCTCCTCTGACCAGGTGACCTGCCCAGTAGATGCAGAGAAGGCTGTGGATGTTGTTTACCTGGACTTCACCAAGCCTTGGACACTGTTTCTCACAGTGCTCTCCTGTAAAAGCTGGTAGCCCATGGCTTGGACAGGTGCACCCTTCACTGGGTTGAGAACTGGCTGGATGGCTGGGCCCAGAGAGTGATGAATGATGCTGCATCCAGCTGGTAGCTGCTCACTGGGAGTCCCTCAGGGATCTGTGTAGGGCCCAGCTTTCTTTAAATATGCTTATCAATGTCCTAGATGGAGGAATTGAATGTACCCTCAGTAAATTAATGAAAACCAGGTAGGATGGGAGCATTGATCTACTGGAGGGTAGGAAGGCTCTGCAGAGGGATTTGGACAGTCTGGATTAGTGGACAAAAACCATCCATGAAGCTCAACAAGGTCAAAGGCCAGATCCTGCACTTCAGCCACAACTTCAGACTACTACAGGTTGGGAGAAAATTGGCTGGAAAACTATCTGGAGGAAAAGGACCTGGGGGTGCTGGTCAACTGCAGCTGAACACAAACCAGCACATGCCCAGATGGCCAAGAAGACCAATGGTGTCATGGCCTGTATAAAGAATAATATGGCTAGCAGGAGCAGGACACTGGTACTTGGCACTGGTGAGGCCACACCTCAAATCCTGTGTTCAGTTCTGGAGCCCTCAATGCAAGAAAGAGGTGCTGGAACATGTCCAAAGAAGGGCAATGGAGCTGCTGAAAGGTCTAGAGTGTAAGTGCTATGAAAAGTTGCTGATGGAGCTGAGGATGTTTAGCCTGAAGTAAAGGAGGCTCAGGGAGGATCTCATCACTCTCTACAAGTGCCTGAAAGGAAGGGTGTAGCCAGGTGTCTGTCTCTTCTCACAGGCAACTAACAGCAGGACAAGAGGACATAGCCTCTAGCCCTATCAGGGGAAGTTCAGGTTGGACACCAGGAAGAATGTCTTCATGGAAAGAGTTGTTAAACATTGAAATGGACAGCCCAGGGAGGTGGTGGAGTCATAATCCCTGGAAGTGTTGGCATGGCACCCAATGCTATGGTTTAATTGACAAGATGGTGTTTGGACAAAGGCTGGACCTAAATTACTCCCTGATTTGATGTAACATGAATCTAACTCACTATTTCTGGCATCTTGACTTCATAATTTCTTTTTACGTACAATTTGCAGTTCAGGTTTATCTTAAGATTTGACTGAGAAAACAATTTAGCAATTCCTTTTATACCGAGATGAATAAAAAAATAGGAAGAACCCTGGTCTTCAAAAATCCTTTATCTATGCTACTATTAATGCTATTTCTGTGCTGTTATTAATGAAAATCTGCGTGATCTGATTCAGACTTTACTGGATTTTCTTTGACATAAGCTTCTGTTTTTAGGATAAATGACCAATCATTCCTCTTGACCCAGTCAAATGCTTTCTTTATTTTGTCTTAACCCCCTATTCCTAAAATAATTTGAAGAAGGCGTTTCTTTTATTTCAATACATTGATTGCAAAGGGGCTAAATGCAACAGTATTAGCAGGTAGAAAGTGGTTCATATGCTGTCTATTTACCAGTATTCTTTTAATACAAAAGAATTTTTATGTAGTTTTCTCAAATGCAGGTGTTCACATATCTTTCCAATCCATTTCATTTAAATGAGTGAATTCAATTTACATAAATTATCAAGTATCAATTTATCTAACAGTTGTGCAACTAAATACAAATGAAGGTGCTCTTGTTAATGATAATATAAATTACTATGGTTCTGTAGATTTTTTCTTTATATTTTTTAAATGGCAGACACTAGGTTGTGATTGAGAACTCAGAGAGAGAACCTAAAATGTGAAGAATTGCAATAGAAGAAAATGCAAGGACAAATGTGAAAATGCTTAGAATTCCTTTTATAAATACCATGTTGATAAACTTTTATACACTTCAGAGGAGCAGAATTTTAATTTAGACCAAACTTGTTTGACTAAAAAAATAAATTCTTGCTTTTAACCACATATGTAATCCAGCAAAATCCTAACATGCAAATGTATAAAACTGACTTTTCTTTTTGGAGAAAATTCATCAGCCTGCCAATTCTTTCAATAAACCAATATAATACCAAAGGACAGAGCAAATTTTGGCTGTTTATTCTATCAATTGATAACTTTTTTCCTAATTCAAATTTCCTGATAGGCTTTCTAAAAAATAATTATTATTATTACTAGCAGAAGAAGGGGGAGTTTAAGAAACCTATGTGAAGAGATTGACAAAATAAGTGCTGTTAGAGGATGTCCTTCACCCATTCTGAAAATTTTCAGTTTTCTGTATAAAGGCAATAAGAAAGGTTTTCTGGACTGCTGGCAGGGGAAATTGGTGCCTATATGCAATTTTTTCTTCTTGAACATTCTCATTCTTTATTAAATAATCAAACTTCAGTCATTCTAGCATCATTAACTGCCCACTTTTTGTGCCAGTGCCATTTGTCAGAGGCTGAACTTCTAACAACATGTCACTTTCTCCCAGGGTGGAAGAGCATGGATGTAAACAAATATAATGTTCTGTGATTTTTTTTTTTTTGAGCATTACAGTCAGAGATAAATGTTTACATGCTGTACTCAGGAAATGATGTGTCAACAATGCAGTGTGATTAACCTATTTGGACAAACCAAGAATTGGAGTTCATACAGCTCAATACATGGTTTATTGTTGGATTGACAGCACTGCATGGAGATGTTGTCTGTACTGTTTGATGAGCACTGCTATAAACAAAATCTTAATCCCAAACAACATGCAATGTAATGTGAAACAAAAAGACCATAAGCTATCATTGCGAACAGCAGGCATGAAGGAGAAAGTGTGGCAAGAGCAAATCTGAATAGTTCTGTATTGTTTTGATACAGTTTATTTTCTATAAATAAATAAATTTAATCTCTTTTGGACTGAGCTCATCCAGTAAGATTAGTGACCGATTCCTTGCAGACCATGAAACTATGACTTATATTTGGAGAATGTGATCTGGTATGGTTTGCCATAGGAACTAATACCAGGAAAGAGAAAAGGAGACTATTCTGTATTGAAACAGAGATGGATGTGATTCCATTGAATACTCAGGGGCATTCCACCATGGAAGTGAAGGGAAAAGCAAAAAAATTGATTAAACAGAAAGGTTATAGTTGTGAAGGGCATTGAAGGTGCAAATGAGACATTTGCATATGATGCTATGGAAAATGAGGAGATAATAAAGACATTTGGATAGGAATAATATAGAGTGACAAGCAAAAAGGATGTTCTTAGGTGATGCATTTTGAAGGTATTGAAAAGTTCCAACTTGCATAATGACATGTTAGTGATGAGCACTTTGGAGGTCAAAGTAACATTTTTATCTGTGAACCTTCTGATGCCCATGAATTATCCTCAAACCAACAAATTCACCAGGGTTAAAATAAATTTCCTCAAGGTCAGCACACTCTGCAAATAGAATAACATACAGACTTCTTTGACTAATATGATCCCAAATTAACACATTATGCAATCTATAAGAGACTGCATACTTAATGCACTGAGGGGAAAAACAGATTTAGTTTTTACATGATTAAATAAAATCAAAATAAAATTGCTTTAGAGGTGTAAATAAATGATTCATTACTTTGTGTCTGATATTTGTCAAAAGGCCAGGGAGATAATGACTTTGGATCTTCCTGCAAGGACCATCAATGTTTTTGGCAGCTATCATGTTCAGAGCTCGGCTTTGTTTCAATGGATACATGTGATGGCTGTATTTGCGTGTGGTGCAGCCCTGTAGGAGTAAATCTAAAGCACAGAACAGCAGCTGAAGAGGATTCAATGCCCATGTAACAAGTATACCAGGAGAATTTATTTCAGACTTCCTGCTGCCTTGTCCAGTGTTTCCATTTTCCACCAGCAACTTGAACAGATTGGATGTGCTCCTGAACCACCACTTCTGTTTTAGCCATGCCTGAAAGAAGCCAACTTTTATAACAGCTTGATGATGTGGACCAGAACAATGAGTGATTCAGAGATCTGAGTCAAAAGTGTACCCAAGGTTTATACCAAAGAAAGGCACACCCATGAACAGAGATTCATTGAGATGGATCTGGCCCTCACACCCTCATAGAAGCTGTATTCCTTTCCCTATATCTCCTACAACTTGCAAAATCTGGATAGCATCATAGGCCTTCTATCAAAAGGTCTCTAGGCACAAGCTGTAGGCAGATCTCCTTTTTCCTTTAGAATACATTATTATTAATGCTAATTTCACCATTCCTGCACAATCTTGATGAAATTATTAAGAGCACCTTATAGAGACTAGCCAGGAAACAGAAATTTTGGAATTCTCTGGAGATAAGCAGAAGCATTATAGAGAGCATTATGCTACCAGAACTGGAAATCTGAGTGAAAAAGGTTAAGGGGCAAATACTTATTTTTAAACATGAGAATGGTAAGTGAAAGGAATAGTAAGAACACCAATTCAATTTTATGTAGGTATAAAAATGAAATTCCATTTGCAACACTTGTATGAATATGAATTAAATCAAGTGATAAGTGATGAACATTAGATTCACCCAGATGGTAGTAAGCAGACACAGAATGGAAGATGGGACTAGAGGAAGAATATTCTCTAAAAGCAATGACAGGATGGGGTTACATGCTTATATTAACTGGATTGTTAATTCATGAGTTAAAGGACAATCATACATTTTGGAAAGTCTCTTCATTTGCTGGTAGGACAAGGCTGTAGAAGCATCCCTCTCTAGTGTCCTCCTTCTGTCCTTCAGACTCTGTATCATCTCTCTCCATGTTCAAAGTCCCACTGGACGCTGCAATGCTGTTCAGATAGAGGTTCACAGGACATTATTCGTTTCATCAGGCATTGAGAGAACTGATTAAAATTCAAGTAGAAGAATTCTTTGAAATGTGTGCAATTTGCTCAGTGTCAGTGGAACTCTTGTACCCTGCTGATAGAATCTGGATCTAGAGCTATCAGACAGTGTGACCCATTATGTCCTTTTTCTGCTCTGCTTCTTCCCCTCAAAGAATTAAAAATCTTTTCATATTAAGGAAGAAAAGTCATTCACAAGGACCTGGACAAGCTCAAGAAGGTGATTCATGATAGCCTCATGAAGTTCAACAAGTCCAAAGGCAAGATGCTGCACCTGGGCTGGGGCAATCCCAGACATGGTACAGACAGGGAAAAGGTCTCATCTAGAATGGCCCTGCAGAGAAGCACTTGGGGGTTCTTCTGGATGAAAAGCTGGACTTGAGCTGCTACAAAGGAGGAGAGTGGAGTTTTATTATTGAATATTCAATACAATCCACATCACTGCATGGGGAAAGGGGGAGATGTGGTTTTGTCAAGAAAGGCAAAGGGGCAGGAAGCAGAAGAGTGTGACCCTCTTCTGGCCAAGGCTGGAGAAAGGACAGAGGACAGGGCTGGGGTCCCTGCTTTGAAGAGATGTTGTAATGCCCACACCACCAAAGATGCCAGCAGCCTCCACCAGAGCAAGTCAGCATACCAGCAGCACAATTCATTACTCAAATGAAAGGTTTCCAGGTTTTTGCTTTGGCCTTGTTCCCCACGGTTGGCCAGATCTGGGGAGGGCACTAAACCCTGTGAACTCACATTGTTTCTTTTTGTTATCTCTCAGCCTGTGTCTGGCATCAGGGCCCTCTACAGTCCTAGGTTTGCTATAGGGTTCCCAGGTGATATCTTGCCTTTGTTGGCTAAGCCAATTTTCTCTGTTGTATAATATTATTTTTATTGCTGTGTTTATTGCTATTTTCTGTAGTAAATTGTCACTCTAATGTATAATTGGTCTGAGATTTTTTGGGTTTCTCCTCCACTATCGAAAGGGGGTGGTTTGAGTGGTTTTAAGTTGCCCACTGAGTTTTAACAACCATCCCATGAGCCAACAGTGTGTGCTCACAGCCCAGAA